GGGTTAAGTAGGGGGTTTGGCGCAGGTAAAACCTTTGTCAGCTCCCCCCCCACCCTAAACAGCTCTGCCGGACGAGACTCTGCAGACGCGATACATATGTTTGCAATGTGGTCCCTCATGCCTCTTCCTTTCCTAAACCCCTCTTGGACCTCTGGGATTTCTCTCTCCATGTATGGTTGAAGTTTTGGTGGGATGCAGACCAGCACTTTAGGCTGGCCTGGGGGTGGAGTTGGAATGGGGTGACCGCACACAGGCTGCCCTGACTCCGTTCTGACACTGCACACCCAACCACATGGCTTGTGGCTTCAGGGCACCCTCTTGGGGCAGTGTGCAGACATGCTGCGCCAAAGGGGAGCAAAAGAGCCATGGTGGCGACTCTAAGGCGGCTTTTTGCCTCCCCCAAAAAAGAGTGGCATTTGCTCACTCTTTTGGGGGTGGCAAAAAGGAGGATTGGTGCTGCAGCATGTGGTTGTCACAGCCCTGATCCGCACTGTCCCTTATGGGCCGTCTGCATCGGCCCTATGTTGCAGAATTCTGAGCATGATTTTGCTTGCATGGGAGATCAGTGCTATGGTTCTATAGTTGCTGCAATCTCTTGTGTCTCCCTTTTTGTGGATGAGGATTTATATTGGTCACTTCCGCTCTGTTGGCCATTGTTTTGTTTTCCATATCTGTTGACATAGGTTGGTTGGCACTAGACTTCCCTGTCAGTGTGGATTGCAGCAGTTCAACTGAAATTTCATCTGTTCCTGGTGATTTGTTTTACACTATTTCTCTTATTGCACTTTCTACCTCACTTTTTAGAATTTGGGATTCATCTTCGTATGGCTCTTCATTCCATGTTCCTTCATTTTGTCATCTCTTTAATATAATTCTTCTGTGCTGCTCTCAGCCAAATCTCCCCTTAAGTCTGTTGTGAAGACAGAAATGGTGGAAATACAAAAATACCAACTTGCCCTCCTTGGAGGAAAGGCAGGGTATAAATCTAAGAAAGAATAATTAAAATATTTGCTGGGGAAATGTCAGAGCTTAATATATATTGGAGCTTAAGCTAAGCATAAGCTGTTCTTGCCTTGCATTGACACTAGATGCCGCTATCATGCTTCTTTATCAGGCTTGGATTTTCTCAGATCAGAAGCCAGATTAATTTCTAAAGATAAATCTTTATGATTTCTTTGAGAGATTTTATTCTGAATTTTAAATTAAAACAAGATGGATGTTTTAAAATGAAATCTGGCAGGAAGACAGCCTAGAGCCTGTAAACAAAAGTGCTGTCTGTGTGTATGTGCGTGCGCACACGCACGAATTATAATTACCTTTAATCCCTACCAATAACCTTTTTCAGAAAGTCTCCCCTCCTGGAATCAATTCACACAACTATCAGGCCAGATGCACTTCTGCTTGTGGGAAATGCATCAGAAGACTTAGCTTTCATAAATATAAACAAGAAACCATCACACTCCACTGAACATGCTTTGTCTAACCTGATTTTGAAAGTTAAGGCCATCTTTTTGAGAGAGAGGGAGCGGGGGGGGGGGGGGAATAAAATTGAATATTTCACAAGTTCTTGGACAAAGTTTTTTTTTTTTTAAAAAAACAGCCTTTGAAGTGCACTATGTTTTTTATTATTATTTCATTTTTATCATTGGGGTTATACCACTCAGGAACATATGGGATCTGTCAGTGAAACTGATCCATATTGGGGTCTTTCTACTCAAGAACCCAGAACCCACCAGTTCAAAAGATTTTGCTTACTTATTTCCCATTTCCATAGAAAGTACTTCTTAATGCATTTCCATTCCCTGGGATTACATTTTCTAGTATATAGTATGCTTTCTATGGTCCAGGACCACATGCCAAGCCACTCAATAAAAGCTCAGCACCTGGCCATGTTGGTTAGGGGATTCTGGAAACTGGGTTGTTGTTGGGGTTTTTTTAATTTTAAAAAAGCAAAATTTTTTTTCAAGCTCTGTGTCTTGTGATGCCCATAACATTTCCTCAGAATGTGCTCACGGAGACACAAAGGTTAATGACTCTGCCTTATTCTTATCCTGGCTTTAACTTTACTTTGCATGGAAGATGATGAGTTATTGTTAGGGGAAGTCTTCAAGTAAATGCCAATTTATGGTGACCCTATCATAGGGTACAGATACACTGTAGAAATGTGGTTTGACACCATTTTAAGTGTTGTGGATCAAATCCTATGGAATTTTGGGATTTGTATTTTTATAAGATCTTTAGCAAAGTGTGCTAGTTGGTGTCTCACAAAACTACAAATCCCAAGATTCTGTAGGCTGGAGCCATAGTAGTTAAAGTGGTTTCAAACTGCATTACGTCTACAGTGTACTTCTCTTGGCAAGATATATCTGGAGGAGGTTTGCTATTGCCTTCCTAAGGTCTTCTTCAGTCTGAGAGGTTGTGACTTGCCCAAGACGACCCAGTGGATTACCATGGCTGAGCAGGGATATGAAACCCGATCTCCTGAAGTTCTAATTTAACACTTGAACCACCTCACCATGCTGGCTGTCTAGGTGATCCATACTTGTGATTTTAGTTGTCTTTTTTTTGTACTCCTTGAAGTTAAGAAAACATTGATTTAATTCTTAAATTATGGTTGTGAAAACTGGACAGTGAAGAAAGCTGGCAGGAAGAGAATCATCTCATTTGAAATGGTGCCGGTGGAAAGCTCTACAGATACCATGGACTGCCAAAATGACCAATAAATCAGTCCTAGAACAAATGAAGCCTGAACTTTCCTTAAAGACAAAAATTATCAAACTGAGGCTATCATACCTCAGCACAAAGATGACATGACTCATTACAAAAGATGAAAGTGCTGAGAAAAGTGGGAGACATAGGGAAAGAAGACAGCAATGCAGGTGGATTCCTCTATCAAGGAAACCACAGACCAAAGCTTGCATAACCTAAATAGAGCTATTGATGATGGTGTCTTGGGGGTCTTTCACTGTAAGCTGAAGCCAATTTCATGGAATTAAGAACAACTTTAAATGTATCTTGCCTGTTTTTCCCCAATGAAAACTCCAGACAGCATTAAAAAAATTGAATTAAAATAACACTGCAGTTGCACATGGTGTTCTAAACATGAGTGTGTAATTGTCATAAAATGGCAATATAATGGATGGTGTTTTAATTCTGAGATTTATATTGTAATTTAGAGTAATTAGGTGTAAAGTGATGCAAGCTGGGACAGAAACACCTGGCTACTTTTATAGGTTGACTGGCTCTGCTTCTCACTGGGAAGAGGCCTGGGCCATAACGGAGAATGGATCACTGTAAATATCAAATATGAGTGCTGAACACAGGAGATAGCAAATGCCATGGCAGGTATTTTAGGTTGAAAATAAAACAAAAAGCCACCTTGGATCTGTACCAGGAGAAATGTAGGATAAAATAAAATAAAAAAATAAGTGCCTAATGTGATTATATAATTCTATGCAGCAGTGACATTTAAAATGTGATGTACCCCATCTCTAAAAGAGCACCATAGCACAGAGGTGAGCAACTATGGGAGGCTAGGGAGGCACATTTGCCTCCTAGGAGACCCTAGGGAGCACACCTCCGCACACTCCTCCACAGCAAAAGAACAACACCCTCCTCCATTATCAGAATGGAGATTGCAGTCAAGAAATAAGAAGAAGACTAGTAATGGGAAGGTCTGCTATGAAACACTAAAATTAGAATAATTCAAACCACTGTAATCCCCATTGCCATGTAAGGATGTGAG